ACTTCCTTCTAGAGCTTTATGTCAGACTGAAAAGGAACAGATATTTGTCATCTCGGCACTATACTTCTTAATGCTTTCAAGTCTACTGTATTAGCACTAATTGTAAAGCCTTTATGGGGAAAGAAGTGGAATCACCTGTGGTGACCTAGGAAGTCATGAATCAGTTGAGACATAAACCTATCCAAATGAATATACGTTAAAGGGAACTGTAGCTATGTAGCTATGGGAAAACTTCAGAAAAACATGCAGCTAGATTTTCAACATAAACAAAATAAACCTATTGAAAAAACAGTAGACTGCAAGCACTAAGAGAAATTAAGTAACAAAAAATTTTACCAATTCAGAAACCCATGAGTTGTTCATTAATGAAAGTACATTTCAAATGATCAAAATTTGGAAAAGTTTAGGTACTGAAATATTTTATTTAAGAAGTATAAATTTGTGGCCGGCGCTGCGGCTCACTAGGCTAATCCTCTGCCTTGAGGCGCCGGCACACCGGGTTCTAGTCCCGGTCCGGTTGCCCCTCTTCCAGGCCAGCTCTCTGCTGTGGCCAGGGAGTGCAGTGGAGGATGGCCCAAGTGCTTGGGCCCTGCACCCCATGGGAGACCAGGAGAAGCACCTGGCTCCTGCCATCGGATCAGCGTGGTGCGCCTGCCGTGGCGGCCATTGGAGGGTGAACCAACGGCAAAGGAAGACCTTTGTCTCTCTCTCTCTCTCTCACTATCCACTCTGCTGTCAAAAATAAATAAATAAATAAAAGCAATATAAAATTTTAAAAAAAGTATAAATTTTTTGTATATTCTTTCCCTCATTAAGAGGATGACAAAAAAGTATTTCAATTCAGGATTAAAAATCAGGAATTTCTGCATTCAAAAAATTATGTGATTCTTTTCCATGACCATGAAAATTAGGAATAATAATGATAAAATTATTAGTCTAAGTAAAACAAAGGTTTATATGATACTATAGCTCTTATTTGAAATATCAATATCCTTCATTCTATTGAGTGGCTCTTGCAAATGACACAAATATTTCCTTGCCTACTGAAGAAGGCAGCAGGTTAACACAGATAAACAAAGGAAAAAGTACATAGAAATATGAAAAAGGCAGAATAAAGAGACACTGAACTTACTCTACTCTTGGGGATAAAGCACTGAACAGAAATTTAGGACAGCTAGTTTCTATATCAAGCTTTTTTAAACTAGCTCAGTATGACATAAAAATCACTTATTCTATTCATCTAATCTCCTATGCCCTCTTTTGTCTTTTGCTAGTAAAAAAAATCAGGTCAAAAAGTCTACAATTACCATGCAGATTGTGGGATTGAAAACACAACTTATAGTAATATTCATTTACAAATACTTATAGACCAAAGGACAGAATGTACTTTTTAAAACAAACTGTAATCTAAAGATTTTATTAGTAAAATTAATTTTGAATTGCAAGCTTACACTTCAGAATCAAATATAGCCCTCCCATAGAGGATGCCACAAATTCAACAATGTATTCAACTTACTTTACTACTCATACTGATTGAGTCTTAAAAATTTCTTCTTTTTGGCAGAAAGAACACTCAGACTGTGTGCAAGGACTCAAAGCAACAGAACTTGAACGAAAATGTTCATGTCCATGAAACTGGAGTATTTGTTACTTATTTTTAGATAAATCGTTGAGCTTGAACTGGGACACACACATCTTTCATATGCCTGAGAAAAATCCCTTCCTTTGTAGCAAATTAAAGTCCTTGAGTAAAATGCTTTTTTCACACATTTCAAACTGGCACACTGTCCCTTTACATATCTCTTGATAAAAACATGTTATTTAACCAGAAAATGAGATATCTGATAAAGAAAAGCTTCTAACATAAACAAAAAAGATGAGACTAATTACTCTTGAGTAGAACACTGTACAAGCAAGCATGATCCAGGCAAATTTCATCCCACGTAAAGATTAAAACATTTGTTTACTCAAATTTTAATACACAACAAGCTAGAATCACATTTGAATATTAAAAGCTCAACCTCTAAAAAATCAGACACCTGACTATTTTTCCTTGGGTTTCACTACATACAAAAAATATACAAAATATTCTCAAAATTTGAGTTCAAACACACAGGCAAATTTACTCAAAAGAATTTCAGTGGAGGGAACTGGTGCTGTGGCAAAGCAGGTTATACTACTTCTTGCAATGTGGGCATCTCATATTGGAGTGCCTGGTTCAAGTCTAGACTGTTCTTCTGATCTAGCTTTCTGCCAATGCACTTGGGAAAGCAGCGAATTATGGTCCAATTACTTGGCTCTCCACCACCCACATAAGAACCAGATCAAGAACCTAGGTACCGGGTTTGACCTCCCAGCCCAGTTGTTCCAGGCATCGGGGACTGAAGCAGTAGATGGAAGTTCTCTCTCTGTCTCTCTGTCATTCTGTCTTTCGAATAAATAAATCTTTTCAAATAACAGTTCTAACCTTTAGGCTTTTTTTTTTCTTTTAAATGCAGTAACTGTGGAGATCTGTTCACTAATACCTTCAAAAGGAGCTTAGGTTCATCATTTCTTTCACATGGTGACTTAATCAGTCCCCCCCCCCCCCGCCCCAAGATTGACTTATTTATTTGGAAGGCAGAATTAGAGAGACGCAGAGGCAGAGGCAGAGGCAGAGAGAGGTCTTCCATCCACTGGTTCACACCCAAATGGTTACAATGGCCAGAGCTGGGCTGATCCGAAGCTGGGAGCCTGGAGCTTCTTCCAGATCCGCAATGTGGGTGCAGGGGCCCAAGAAGCTGGGCCATCTTCTGCTTTCCCAAGCACATTAGCATGTAGCTGGATCAGAAGTGGGGCGGCAGGACTTGAACTGGCACCCATATGGGATGCTGGCACTGCAGGCATTATCCCTTGCAGGCAGCAGCTTTACCAGCTATGCCACAATACCAGTCCCCCTAGTCTTTTTTTTTTTTTAATATTGCAGAGAGAGTTAGAGACAGAGAGAGAGGTCTTCCATCCACTGGTTCACTCCTCAGATGGCTCCAACAGCGGGAGCTGCACCGATCTGAAGCCAGGAGCCAAGAGTTTCTTCTGGGTCTCCCATGTGGGTGCAGGGGCCCAAGGACTTGGGCGATCTTCTGATATCCCAGGCCATAGCAGAGAGCTAGATCGGAAGTGGAGCAGCCAGGACTAGAACCGGCGCACATAGGGGATGCCAGCACTTCTGGCCAGGGCTTTAACTCGTTGTGTCATAGTGCCAGCCCCTCCACTAGTCTATCTTTTTAAGCTGTTGTACAGATAATGTCAAGATCAAAAGAGACTTCAAACTCATCAAGCTACTCACTTGATGCTTCAATCCTTTTTTTTTTTTTTTTTCTTTTTGACAGGCAGAGAGAGAGACAGAGAGAAAGGTCTTCCTTTTGCCGTTGGCTCACCCTCCAATGGCCGCCGCAGCAGGAGCGCTGCTGCTGGTGCACTGCGCCAGTCCGAAGGCAGGAGCCAGGTGCTTCTCCTGGTCTCCCATGGGGTGCAGGGCCCAAGCACCTGGGCCATCCTCCACTGCACTCCCGGGCCACAGCAGAGAGCTGGCCTGGAAGAGGGGCAACCGGGACAGAATCTGGCGCCCCAACCAGGACTAGAACCTGGTGTGCTGGCACGGCAAAGCGGAGGATTAGCCTAGTGAGCCACGGCGCCGGCCTATGCTTCAATCCTTACAAGCACATTCAGCTTGGCCAGAGTATGCCTGAACACTTTTACTGATAGAAAATGTATGAGATGATAATGCATTTAAAAAAACTGTATAATAGAGAGCTGGTGTTGTGGTACAATGGGTTAAGCCGCTGCCTGTAGTGCCAGCATCCCATATGGGTGCCACTTCGAGTCCTGGCTGCTCTGCCTCTGATCTAACTCTCTGCTAACGCACCTGGGAAAGGAGTGGAAGATGTTCCAAATTCTTTGGTCCCCACATCCATGTGGGAGACCCAGGTGAAGCTCCAGGCTCCCGGTTTTGGCCTGGCTCAATCCTGGCCATTGCAGCCATTTGTGGAGTGAAGCAGTGGATGATGACCTCTCTAGCCTCTCTCTAACTATGCCCTTCAGGAAAATAAAATAAATTTTAAAAAATAAACACAACTCTATTAGAAAGTTTATCTTTACTTTTTCTTATCTTGTTGCTCAAATTGGACATGTCTGAAATAACCATTGGCAGGTGAAGGTAATAAACAGGTATCTCTATATTCAGCTATAATCAGGAATGAACTACTAACCCAACAGAATGGATGAAAACATATAATGTTAAGTGAAAGTTGCTAGACACAGAGTACATATTATATGATTCTATTTATTTTGATTCTAAGAAATGAAAAACTGGGCCCGGCGCTGTGGCTCACTTGGCTAATCCTCTGCCTGTGGCGCCCGCATCCCATATGGGCGCTGGATTCTGTCCCGGTTGCCCCTCTTCCAGTCCAGCTCTCTGCTGTGGCCCGGGAGAGCAGTGGAGGATGGCCCAAGTGCTTGGGCTCCTGCACCAGGAGACCAGGAAGAAGCACCTGGCTTCAGATCGGCGCAGCGCCGGCCATAGCGGCCATTTGTGGGGCGAACCAACGGAAGGAAGACCTTTCTTTCTCTCTCACTCTCTGTAACTCTACATGTCAAATAAATAAATAAATCTTTAAAAAAAAAAAAAAAAAGACCACATGGCTAACAGGAGAGCCAGCACTGTTGCCATGTTCGAAAAAAAAAAAAGAAATGGAAAACTAAACTATATGTTAGAGATCAGAAAGTGGTTGCTTTTGAGGGATAGCGGTCAATGTGCAGTGAAAGGGGTATATGGAAAGTGTCTGAAGTTCTGAACTGCTCCACATCATGTTTCCACTACATGCAATAATATGTAAAATAATATATATAAATTACATTTCAATTGAAATGAAATTTTTACTTTCATTACAATAATTTTTTAAAGAAGAACTAACAAGAACCCAGTAGAAAGGTTTTAACATTTCTATTCTCAGGATGCTTACCTGTCCAAGAGCTGGTCATGTTTTTCTAAAGCATCCTTTTCAGCCATCACTGCTCTGTCTTTTTCAGCCACAGCATTATCCCTTGCTTCTCGGAGATTTCTGAAATTTAAACGAGCATTACAATTATTTCAAATGCCTAAGTATCTGTCATTTAAAGCTCACAGGTGTGTGCTTACTCAGAGTTGGACTACATGACAATCTTAAGGACCCATGGCAGGTTGGTGACCAAAGTGTCTGTTACATGAATAGACAACCTGGCGTGGTGAGTATCACTGGCAACTTGCAGCAATGCAGCTGCAGACAATCCCTACTAAATGCCAGAATGGGATTGACATTAGAATCTGGTTTTCTGTTATTCATAGAGAATATCAGTGGAGGGTCATAGAAACCCACACAGTTTTAAAAGTTTCTCCACGATTTTTATCTCCTGGGTTGAAGACTAGGCTAAATAATTTATATATATAGTAAGTCATTTAATCCTTACCACAATCCATTGAGGAAGTTAGTTACTCACACATTATTCATAAGAAACTGAGAGGTTAACTACGTGTTCTATAAAATATTTTAAGTCAAAGATATGGAGATCAATCAAAATGGGCAGAAAGATTCAGATTTGGGCAAGAGAATATTTAAAATGACCGACCTTGGAATCCTAGCTGTAAAGGAAGGAGAGACAAGGGAACACAGAAAGGCTGATAAATTAGGAGAAAATAAAAGAGACAAAGGACTGGAGGTCCTTTTAAGATGACAAACAGATGAACTGGAGGTAGCTTTTCAATCAGGATAGAAGACTGGAGAAGAATGGTTATCTAGAGTTAGTAAAGTTAATTTCAGTAGCTGCATTTTAGCAGAATTAAAAGTTTAGAATTTTAAGCTGATGAGACAACAGGGTCTGACTATCAGAATGGCTAAGTGAAGCAGAGCTGAGTAGGCTCATGTAGGGCTCAAAGAATTACGAGGCCTAGGTATTAGATTCATCATCTACATACAGTGGTGATGACAGTAGGAATGGAAATTGACTGAAAGATGAGATTTATTGCCAGTTAAGGGGAGTGTCCAAGAGGTAGAAGGTAACAGCAGTGAGCAATTAGGAGACTATGCAACCAGGAATGAACCTTCAAAAATCAAATTCTATTTTTGCTTTAATCAAGATGAAATTTTGGATAAAGAAAAATATCAACAGTGAACTTAAAAAAAAAACAACTCTTGCTCAACAGAGTATAACATAAATACAGAATGTAATGAAAATAAAGGATTTTGCTTGCTTAATCCCTACAAATCCCTGTATGCTGCATTTTCTAACCTATTTTATTTAGCTGGATACACTGAAGTTTAGAGAGCTTATGTACCTAGTCTCAAGTCACCCAGCTTAAGCATTAAAGGGCCATAATTTGAATCCAGCTATGTTTTACTCCAAAGCCAGTGGTTTTTACATCATACAACTCTATCTCCCATAAAGAACTGGAGTGGATATTAGGATTTATTTTTTTATTATGCATAGAGAATGTCAGTAGGGAGTAATGAAAGCCCACACAGTTTGAATAAATCCATTTCATAAATATTGGATAGAAATGCTTAGCGGTATATTTGCTGTGCCAGTACTCAATGTAGTCTTTTGCATGGTGATGCTAACAACAGATTTAAAATTTAGAACAAGTCAACTATTAGAGATTTGTCAGGAAAATAATTTAAGGACCAGAAATAAAATGTTTCTTTTTTCAAATTGGAGTACAGGTAACTTATTAAAAAGAAAAACTATTTATATATGCTATTATCTAAGTGGAAGTGCATTCTGAAGTAGTTATGACAAAATTCATGTTGTTATTTTCTGATATCTCCTAATTGGAATGACCTTCAAAAATATTCTATTATCAAACCTACTGAAACATGAAAAATTAACTTTAGAGACAGTAAAATTGTCAAAATACATTAAGCATTTATTTATTTTTATACCTGAATGACCTAAATATTTTAGTCAGTAAATCACCCCAAATTGGTTTTAATTTTCATTTCTGAAATACAGCCTCATTATAATATATTTTATTTCAGTAGTAGAATTCCAACAAGTAGGTCACATTTACAGTACGAATTAATCATGACTCCTTAGTTGGTATATACAGAAGCTTCTATCCCTAACTATATTTCTGTTCTTTCAACAATGAGTATTAGAAATTAAAGCATCAGGGAATGATATAAAACCCAAAACAAACCAATACTAGGGCCTGTGAGAGGAGGTATACTTTGCCATACTACAACCTATATCACCCAGCTAACTCTAAGTGTTATGTTAAGCCATAAACAAAACTCTATAGCCACAAAGAAGAGGGAATTTTTATTTTTAACTGGAATAAGACAAGTGAATAAAGGAACATATCTCCAAAAAGTGACATGTAACTTGGACCCTGAAAGACAAATAGGTCAGGCAGTTCAGAAAGAGAAAAATGACACAAAGTGGGGCAAAGTGCTAGAAGCTAAGGCTTCTACCAATAGGTCATCTTCCAGATGTCTGTAGAAACCCACTCTCCTTGTCAGGTACCACGCTGTCCATATCTGCGTACTTTGTACAGGACGCAACCCAATTCCTTAAAAGCAGATGCTTTCTTTAATAGCATCTACTTCAAATAAAGGGTGTGAGAGAGAAACTGAATGCATTTTCCATTGACAACAGAAACAGCAAACACATAGTGCCAGGAGTTGTCTAGGCACTTTACACAATAACTCATTTAACTGTCACAAACATCTCAAAGGTAGCTTGTGTCATTACCTCCATTTTATAGATGACAAGACTGAATCTTTGGGAGGTGAACTACTAGCCTTAGGTGAGGAAGCTATGGTGTTCAAATGTGAATCGAGTCGGGCTCCAGAACCCTTGCTTTAAATCATTCTGTGCTGCCTCTTAAGATTTCCTTTGTCTCACAGAGGTTTTCTCCTCAGGAAATCCAGACATTATGAGATTTATATTACAAGATAATCTCATGGTACAAATAGATGTTAAATCCAAATTAATCATGAAAGAACTGTGAATATATTACACATTTGCTTTTATGGTTCACAGTATGCTAATATGCTCTTTCAAAATTAGGCTGTTTTGATAAAATACCAGATGGATTGTATTCCTGCCACAGATAACATAATAACTTCCATATAACTAATAAATAATCCATTTCTAAATGTTAAGTGCATTAGAAGATGTAACAGAAATACAATTATGGGACAAATAACAGGCATCCAAACGTCCTTCAAAAGGGAAACTTGAAAAATTGATAGAAGCTATCTGTAGCATGAATAAACTAATAAAGCTCAACTTTTAAAAGTCCAAACTGAGTGTACAACCAAATGTAATTTCGGTAAGAGAGAGATGTTGGGAGTTGCCAAGTGCCCAACATTGTACCAGATGTTTCAAACTACAAAACTCGAATACAGTGGGGCCAGGACCTGAACATGACCACTGGATTTCAGCAGCATGAAGGAGGTGGGGCTTTGACAGGAACTGCTGTGTTAGAGCAGCATGGGCGAGGGGTGCGCGTGAGAGTTGGGGGGCGGGGTACAAAAGCTTGATACTGGATTTTTAAAAACTGAAGTAAAGATAGAATATAAAACCCTTTGCAGTAATATGGCTACAAAAGGGAGTAAAGAAATAGGGCAACAGCGAGGGGAAGTGGAGACAAAGAAGGCTTTTAAAGATGGGGAAGTAACATGTTTGAACACAGTGGGAGTCAGCAGGTCAGGGGCGAAGACTGATTATCCTGGAGACCCAGGGCAGAACGCTGGAGTTAGTCCTTGAGCAAGAGACAGGGATGGGCTCTAGTGTAGTAGGGAGAGCTGGGGTCTTGGGCGAGTAGTATCAGAGAGGCAGGCTCTATCACAAAATCATGCCATCTTATAGAAAAGTCTCCTTTACTGAATTCTAGATTATGAAAGTTTTATTAAGTTCTAATGATCCTTACTTAGTCCTCAAGTATGGAGTGGGGTTGCAAATGCTCTTCAAAGATCACGTTTCTCTTAGTAAAGAACCTCTAAAACTACGGTTTTGATGAGTAAAAGTGGTCAACTTTCATAGCCCTCATCAGCTAAACAGGAGTCCAGATCGCATTGCACAGTCAGGCACGTGTAGTTTTACCAACAAAACGTTTGTAATCATTGGAAAATCACACACTCTCTGCATCTTAGTTTCCTCATTTGTAAAATGGAGATACTAACACCTCATATTTACACTCTCAAAACATGTTCTGTTTAATTCTCTCTGTATGTATGTACAGTGCAGAGAACAGTACTTGATGAATAATAGATATTCAACAAATAGTATCTATTGTCAGTATGTTATCTACATATGAAAATCTAACTTAAAATATGAAGATATTCACATTCAGGAATGATAATTACAGTAATGTTCTCTAAGATTTTTTATTGCATAAAAAGCAAATGATGGCTCAGGCATCGTGGTGCAGCAGGTAAAGCTGCTGCCTGCAATGCTGTTATCTTATTTGCAGACACCAGCTGCAGTCCTGGAAGTAGCTCCCTGCTAATGGCCTGGGAAAAGCAGCAAGTTGGCCCAAGTCTGCCATCCACATGAGAGACTCAGAAGCAGCTCTGGGGGCCAACACTGTGGTGTAGCCGGAAAAGCCGCCTGCAATGCCGGCATCCCATATGGGCGCCGGTTCAAGACCTGGCTACTCTACTTCCAATCCAGCTCTCTGCTGTGGCCTGGGAAAGCAGTAGAAGATGGCCTAAGTCCTTAGGCCCTTGCATCCACGTGGGAGACCCAGAAGAAGCTCTTGGCTCCTGGCTTTGGATTGGCACAGCTCTGGCCGTTGCGGTCATCTTAGGAGTGAGCCAGCGGATGGGAGATCTCTCTCTCTCTTCCTCTCCTCTCTCTAATTCTACCTTTCAAATAAATAAATAAATAAATCTTTAAAAATCTTGTCTAGTCCTTCTTTACCAACCTTACCCGATGCTCAGGGAAGAAACAATGCAGTAGGTAACTCTTAATTCTTGCAAAACCTGAACTCACCTTGCTTCAAATACTTAAGTATTATTAAGAAGTTCATTTCTGGAATACCCTATAAACTTTAAGTACTTGAATATTAAATAACAAGGGA